TCCCTTTTTCCAGTCATCTGGAACTTCACCTCGCTAATGTCATGGCATGGACAACCCCGTCCTCTGAGAATGGGCTGCTCCTGGACCCCAGCTTCTCCCTGGTGTACTCAGGGTCGAAGTACCTGCTGCATAATGCTGTGTGCTCAGGTTGTTGGCTCTTGTCAAACATAGTCTTAATTCCCCAGACCATTATTCCAGCGCAGCAGGAAGGAAAACAGCCATTAACTAAATCTGATTTGATTATTTGGACTATACTCAAGAAAATCTACACTCAGCTGAAAGGAAAAAGAACAGCAGTAAAATTTGCAGATGTTTCCAGTAGAGGAATGTCTGTTCAAGTGCTGAAGTTTCATTTGTGGCCAGTTCTGGTTTGTTTTTGGGATTTTCTAGCAGGGAGGTTTGTTATATTTTAAATTAGTATAATCACAATCTGCTTGGGCTACAGTGTAGCTTGTAACATTTTTGTGGTTAATTTAGGAGATAGTTTTGTTATTTGTAGGCTTTAACTTGGTAAGCAAAATATGTGTATCATATGTACAAGTAGGAAAAGGAAGGAGTGCTAAAAGAGCCTGCCTAAAATGCCCAGACCCCTGAGGTGGGTAGCTTCAAGGAAGTATGGACTGTTCGATTACCTCCTCTCCGGTGAAACCGGAGGTTTTGATCACAACCATGGCCACGTGACCTGAAACTTGAGGAGAATTTTTACTAGCTCCTTGGTGTGATAGTTTTGGGTTCTTTCATGATCCTTATGTGTGAACTTTTCTTTACACTTGGAAAATGGATTCAGAACAACTTGGAATTTGGTATCGTTGAGGTGGTAGCTCTTTAGATGGTGGGTTTTAGCCAGGATCTAAAAGCATTTTTGGGGCAAACCTCCTGCTTTATTGCAAGTACTTTTGTTGAAGTCTTCCTCTGTTGGTTTCAGATTTCTCCTTAGTCTTTGCTGTGAGGTTACATTTGAGCTGAGGACTTAGTGGGCATCATGTCATACAAAATGCTGTCACACAAGAGTGTTTCCAGTTTCCAAGTGTATGCTACTTTTTTCTAACTATTTTGAGTAGCACTTTTTTTTTTTAAAGTCACTTTTGGGAGTGCTAGATTAGTGGTGAATGACTTCTCAATCATTTGGGAGTATGCTGCAAATTGAGACATTAATTTGTTCTCTATTTTGCTGTTTTCCTAAGCAACTGCATAGAAACTTTTAAGAACAGCAGCACGCATTTTGTCTCATTTTGCTTCTGCAGTGAAGCTCCATGACAAAATCATACCTTAACTAGATGAAGTTATTTGTGGACTGTATAACTGGAATCTGTGAGAGAGAGGGCAGGAAGGAGAAGAAGGTGGCAGGACTGCCGTTTCTCAGGGATGAGTTAGTTGCCTTTAAAGCCTCATTCTCAGAGGGCCGTGGTCCTCCCCTACAGGTGCGAGAGGGCGTTACAGAAGACAGAACATGATTCTCTTCAGCAGTGCATAATTAAGAATGTTTGTATTTGTAGATGATGCTTTTTTAATGTACGTTGCTTTGCCAAGAGGAAAATTGCAGCAGCAGTTTTGTAACTGTTTCATAGCGTTGTCTTTTCTATAAATATGGTTTAGTTAGGCTTTTAATTGGTTGGTTTTTTTCTGGACATAGGGAAAATGGAGCGTACTTTCAATTCAGAGATGTCATTTAAACTCTTGCATATATAATAATTTGATCCAAAGAAATCTCAGTGTAGCACAGACAGTTTAATGTGGCGTTTTGAATATAGCGAACTTGTGAGTTTTATTTATATGAAGGCTTTTGATTCTAACAGCTGCTCTAATAGATATCCATTACTTCTTCCCCAGAGAGTTCCCAAAGTGTGGAAAGATTATTGTTTTTCCAGTCTGACCTTGTGTGTGTTAAATATTATGTAATTGTAGGCTGTGGGCAGACAATTCTCACTGTGGGCTGCATTGCCTCTCTTTAGTGGAGTCCTTGAAGCTGTAGAAGTTACCAGGGAGGAGTTATCCTTTTCTGTCTTTTTAAAACATCTTACTTTATTGAAGCTTATAATCAAGAAAATTAGAGAGTTTCAGGCTCTTCCATGCTTGATTTTTGTATATTGATTCCAATTTTCTGTTTGGAAAGACATTCTGCTTCTGGAAAATATCTTATGCAGAGCACTGCGTAATTATTTACGGATGAGTTTTACTCTTAAAATTAGCCAGAACTGAGTAAGACTGAGGGAAAAGGTCAGAATTGCTCCTATAAGAATATGTCTTACTTTGGGGGAGGGACAGCAGCAACTGAAAGTTACTATTAAGTTGTTACATAAGATGCTAATGAACTGGAATTAGATTGACAGCCAGGAGACTGTTGGGCAGAGTGGTGGAGGGACCATGAGTCTCCATGGTTTCTATTGTGCTGATGTGTCCTGCTGGGTGGAGGCGGCTTCAGCTCCCAGCCTCTGCTCCAACACTGTGAACCTGCTTGGTGCCTTCCTGGCCAAAGCCAGTGCCTAGGGTCCATGATGGGGCTTATCAGCAGAGATGCCAAAGCTGTGACTAAAGCCATAGGGGAGGGAAAAAGCCTGGAAGGAATTAGTTGTACAGAACAAAGACAAAGATAATAGTGTCAGTTATGCTGGGTTTAGCATTAAAAAGATTTTTATTTAGCCAAAAAGAGTATTTTTTTCTGAAAGTACATAAAGCAGCATGTTTAAAGGAACACCTTTTTCATACTTGAGATGTGAGGAAGAGAGGCTGACTTCTTCTGAATACACATCAAAATTATATTTAAATTCAGGTTGACTGTTCCTTTAATCAGTAAATAATGAGGCAATGCTTCTAACCTGCATGAGCCTAAACTGAGGAAAAGAGGGATAAATTATTACAGCAGATCGTGTACAGCAGTTAGTAGTGTTGTAACTCCTGATCAAAGCAGAAGCTGTGTTTGTCTGTCACTGGGAGCTTGGCAGAAGAGTAGCGTTGCTCTCTGAGCAACAAAATTCAGCATCGCATTCGAAGTGTGGTTTGTTTTCTTTGGTTTTTTTTTCTCCTTGGATTTCCTTACTGTCATATAAAAAGATAGTAAACATACAGTTAGTAGTGGGTGCACAGATATGAAAAGTGCTTTACTTACTGAACTGTGAAGTTTCATAATATTGTCTACCAGTTGTGTTTTCTCATGCTTTTTGTGCATTTGCTTTATTTGAGAAAGGCGAGCAGCTTTCCTTTGTGTGCAAAGTAGACATGTGGTCACTGCTTTGGTATTTGGATGAGACCCTATCTGCCTGGCTGCCTCCAGCTGTGGTTCTGCCAGTGAGGGGAGGCCTAACCCTGCTGGTCCCTGTGCTGGTTTATAGCCCCTAGGTACAGGCGGCAGCTGTGCAGGTTGGCCTTCTTCCATACCATACAGGTATGCTATGGTCCTGGAACGAGCATCCTCCAGAAATCAGATCTTGGGTAGGAGTCGAGAGGTCTGAGTTCATGTCTTTAACTAAAAAGAGCTTCATAGAAGAGAAATACAGAGAGTTGTGGAATTTAATGCTTAGCAGGGGAAGGCCATGCTGTAGATTACTCAGTGCAGTGCTTTTTACCTATAGGCACATTATTTGAGGAAAAGGTATAGTGCTTTTTAGGGCTCGGTAGGCAAGTTGCTATCCTGTCATCTGACTTTTTCCTTTCCTTGCTGACAGAAAAGCTTGCAGAAGCTCAGCGCAGGTTTACTACTCTTCGGACTGAGTTACAATCGACTTTGGATGCACAAAAAGAAGCCAGTGGGGTTTCCACGCTGCAGCGGCGCAGAAAGCCAGTCTTCCACCTGTCCCATGAAGAGCGAGTCCAGCATAGGAATATCAAAGATCTGAAATTGGCCTTCAGCGAGCTCTACCTCAGCCTCATCTTACTGCAGAACTATCAGGTACCTGCAAAAAGATGTGGGTTTACAAAGCCCTGTGTGTAAATGACTCTGTGCTTTGGGTATCCTTATTTCTTCCTTATTTCTTGTGTATCTTAATTTCTTCCTTAATTTTGGGGCCCCTAAACATTTAAGAAAAGGCACATGCCTAGCAGCTAGCAGTGTATGTCTTGTTGCTTTTTGTTGAGCTAGAATTGCTAAGCTGACCTGAGAAGGTCTTCCTTTTCTGGGCTGGCTGAGCCAAACACCCTTTGCCCAGGCATGGCCAGAACATGAAGTTATATCAGTACCTCCTCCTTCTGTAATGTGTTGTTCTGTGCAGGGCTGGAGCTGGCACACTGGGGAAGAAAGAAGCTTTTATCTAATATTTGTAATGAAACTTGAAATGCTAACATACTGTTTTCTCTTGGCGTTACCATGGTAGTGACTGTGACCTTGCTATATCAGAATTTCTTGTTAAAACATTCATTTAAAAAAAAAAAATGTTTTCTATTCTGTAGGATACAGGCTCATTTGCCTTGAAGTATGAGAAAACCAAATCTTTACTTGTACTAGGATTTCTGGCATGAAAGGACATGGTAATATTGCAGATGTTGATATTGTTCCAAAAATCTTGAAACAAAAATCTGAAACTGTTATGATCTTTTTTGCTATGCTAACACTTTTGGTGTTAAATACTATGAAATACTTTTACATGTCTTAGCACGAGGGCTTTTAGCTTGTTAAATAAGAATGTTTGAGTTTAAATTTAGTACGTGAGTATTTAGATCTTAACCAACATTGTACTGGAGAACTTTACTGAACAAAATTAATTGTTAGAAATACTACCTGCAGTATGGACAAAATTTATTCTTCAAAAATTCTGAGTTTTTGTACTGTTCCTAAAGTGATGCTATGTCTGGAAACTATTTATGAGTTTCATAATAAAGCCCTTTAACTTTAGAGGTAACTTGTGGTTCAAAATCCTGGGAAAGGTAGAGTATTAGTAGTTTTTCAGGAATGGAAAATCACCTTCTGTGATTTCTTCAATATTTTTTTTTTCTTTTGGTTAAAAAAAAAAGCTCTTACTCTTTGTTACAAAATTCACTTCTGAGGCTTGTCGAAGAATTTAAATAAGGGTGAAATAGGTAATTAATTTGGAAAATCTTTTCCTACTATTCCTCAGCGAAGAAAGACATGTTGCACACCTATATTTTTGCTACCAAGAGTCCGTTATACATATAGAAAATGTTAATGTAAATCCCATCTGTATTTGATAGCTTTCAGAGTTTCCAAAAGGAGCAGAGCTTATTTCTAAAACATATCAAGAATGAGAAAAATTAGTTCAAATTGGTCTTGAAGTTTAGGACAATGAATACATGTACTAAACCAGATATAAAACCAAATCCCAGAATACTACTCTTAATCGCTTTTGAGCTTAGAGTGTAAGAACTAGGAATATTCAAGCTCTCGCAGTTTTGGAGAGGAAAAACAGTAACCTGGTGGGAAGATGACATAGCTGAGGCCTTCATGTAGGTGGTAAAGGGAAGTCAACAGCGGCATTATAAATATCAAGCTATAGCTTTGATGAAATGCTGAAGTCTTGAGGTGGGTTACCAGGAACAGAAAACCCACTTGAAGCAAATTCCAGTCTGTTAGACCGAAGCAAGAGCAAAAGCAGCATGCATTCATTTCTAAGGTACACAAACCAAATATCAAGTGGAACCGTAACTTGTCTCCAGGGCAGCTGATATTTAACTTACTAATGATTAAACTTCTGATAAAATTGATTTATTATTAACAGTAATATATCATTCTAGAGTGTGTAGATATATAAATAGATCTATTTATTTGAAATACTGTGTTTCAGAATAAACAAATCTTAATTATTAGGTACATAGTATTTACTTATACTGTATATAATATAGTACATTAATCAGGCAAATAACGGATGCTTGAATCAGTCTTATTAAACCGTTGTTTGTTTGTCTTGCTGGTCCATTTCCTTATACATTTTTATATGAGCAGAGATTTTTGAGTCCACTGATTCTACTTGATCTTGCATTATATTATTGCATAAGTTGTACTCCTTGGTTGGTTTTTTTTCCACCTTGAATGACATGATATGCCATTAGTTGATTCACTTCAATGGATTCAATTAGTATCCAGCAGAAATGAAAGTCAGGCTTGGAGAAAGCCCCTTGCCAAACAAATGCGTCATGAATAGCAAAACATCTGACTGTGTAAATGATGTTTGACTGTTCCATCACTGTATGTTCCTTGTCAGAATTACCACTGTAACCACCAGTATTTTTATTGTGTGCTTTGGGCTTGAAGACTTTTTGCAGCCAGAGGATGAAGTGCTGCTGGAGAGGTTCTAGGATGTCTGGTGTAAACCATGCCCACACCGGCCAAGGCATACCAGGCTGGGACTGCACACACGCAGATAAAGTGACATTAGTTGAGGCTACAGAAAAATCTCTGACCGAAATCATCATTTTGTTGCGTTTTTTAATTTCAAGATTCCAAAATGGTGATCTCCCTGGGTGGAGTGCTGGCTTTTCCAATAGAAAATAATTAAAGTCTCTTATCTGCAATAATGCAGATTGTTAATTCATCTGCTTCCTGCTCCTGTCTCCCTAGCCTCATTTCCCCACCTATATGGTAGGGGTCTGGTATTAAATTACTCAGCATAATTAGCTTGAAAATATTTCAGTGAGTAGTAGGTGCCTCTTCCTAGGGCATGGGATTTTGCTGTTTTCTCTCTTTTTCTTTCCAAGCTCCTTTCTAAGATTTTTTTTTCTCTCTCTCTTTTTTTTTTTTTTTTTTTTAAGAATTGAATCTTGCCATGATCTGTCTGCATTCCTACCGTTTCTTGAATGAAACATCGAGTCTTTCGAGTGGTGTTTTCTGCATAAGGAAGTACAGGATTTTGGATACATCTTGTCACAGCAATTGCCTGCAGTGTGATGAGCTTTGCCTATCTTAGTTACTGTGCATTAGAAAAGTATTGTGTTAGGTCTCATGCATAACTTGAAAATCAACAATTCTTGTTTTAATGCACCTTTACAAGCTTGGGAGTTTCATCTCCCACATTTGCAAGTCTAAAATAGTTTTGCAGTCACTGTGCAACATACTCTGTAGAAAAGGATCATGCTGTGGGGATGTACATGTCTGGATTTAATTTGCAGCATTTACAAATTTTGTACAAGGATTTCCCTTCTATAATGTCAAGAACTGGATTTGAAACCAACATAGAGTTTAAAGAAACTAGAAGTTAGAAGCTTAGCCTTTTCAGAAGGATTGGTAATGACTGTATTAGTTGGGGCAAACCTGGTCTTTCTGCACCTTTATGTGTTTGTTAAGAGCTCATTACACCTTCTGCTAATCCGGAGACCAGCAAGTTGCAGTACCTGGGATATACACAGTAAGGTGTAGCCAGAGAGATGGAGCATGTCTTGAAATAACTTTGTGCATGCAATTTTTCAGCATGTCCAAAGTTTATTTGCCTTCAGGGAGGTTTCATCACGATTATCATCACTTCCTGCATTAAGGAGGAAAGTGGGAGAAATTTGGCTTTTCGGGAAACATGAAGTTTAGGTAGTTTCCTACAAATAAGCTATATGTTTTTATGCCCCCCAGTCCCACGTTTTTTCTGTTATTTGCAAGGGATATATGTGACTTCTAACACAGTGGTAAGTCAGAAACTTCCTGATGATAGATGCAATAATTTGGTGGGGTTTATTAGCTATTTCTTTTTTTCTAGCACTGGAAATATAACCATTTAACTTTCTTGGGAGCTGACTGAGGTTAAAAGCCAGTAATTCTTTTCCCTTGTCTGCAGAACCTGAACTTCACCGGCTTCCGCAAGATCTTAAAGAAGCATGACAAGAACTTGGAGACGGCGCGGGGAGCAGAATGGCGGGTGGCTGAGGTGGAGGTGGCACCTTTCTACACTTGCAAGAAGATCAACCAGCTTATCTCCGAAACAGAGGTAAAGATGCTAGTCTGGGCACTGTTCCTCTTTTTAACTAGAAAACAGTATTTTCTTGTTCACTACTGATTCCTATAATGTTTTGCCCTCTCTATAGCTTGTATTTGCCACCAAGACAGCTATTAATTGATTTTGAAATGCCACTGATTTCTGGCACTGCTTACATAATTTGGGTATGTTCTCTTCAGCTAGTAGCTTTTCACTCTGAAAAGCCAGTGCAGTGTTAGCCTGTATTGTGTAACTTGGTGCAGCATGGTGAGCTTTTCTTATCTTTGTTAACGTGTACTAGGAGAGATTGGGCCAGGGCTCAAATGTAACTTGGAAACCAACCATTATTTTTGGTTTTAATTCAGTACCATGTGCTTATCATTAGAATGAACTTCTGTGATGTATATCTTCATCTCCTTAGGAAGTGGTGACCAATGAGTTAGAAGATGGGGACAGACAGAAGGCTATGAAACGTTTGCGTGTTCCACCCTTAGGAGCAGCTCAGGTGAGAGATAGAGCTATGTAGCAAAGATGCTTCTCCAAGTTGTCAAAGTGCCAAATTAGATTCAACATCTGAACAAAACAGTGAAAATGATTAATGTGAGCATGCTCCACAAAGTGTGAGGAGGATATTGTCACATAATCTGCTTTAGTTTGGAAGATTTGGAAATAGCTTACTTACTATTCCTAATTTTAAATTTATTCCGCAAATTAATCTGACTTTGCTGATAACCTTTTTACCCCACCTTAATTCCACCATTGCTTTGTTCACAGCCTGTACCAGCCTGGACTACATTCAGGGTTGGATTGTTCTGTGGGTTGTTCATTGCACTGAACGTCACTGTCATACTTTCAGGTGGGTATCCTCAACTGGACTGCTGCCTGCCGTACCTTGGTTTGGATACATTTTCATCACTTAACGGGGGCCTGGATCTAGACCAGGTTGGTCAGGATGTTCTGGGTTGAATCAGTCTGAATAGGATCACACTATTGTGAAGTATTAGTGTTACTGCTCAGTAATAGGTTGTGGTTTTTTCATGTTCTATATGCTGATTTTGGACTTTGAATATATTATGGTTTGTTCTTCTGGTTTCCTCCCTATTCTTGGAATTATGTTCTGGAGGTGGAACATTCATCTACAAAGACAGATTTCTTTTGTGGTTCTGTGAACACACAGACCTCACTCACCTTGAGACAGGTACTCCTAGAACTTAAGTTTTTCATGATACTAACTCCCTACAGAGAGTGAGACTAGATATAGAGCCATGTAAGCACCATGCCACTTGGGGCATTTTCATGTAGAAATTTCAGGGATTTCAATGCCTGGTGCCTATTAATGGAATTAATATCATTTTTCTTGTTGGCAGATTTTGGCAAGATTGTTTAACAATACAATAAATTATTATGTATCTCAGATGTTGATTTTATTCTGCTTTGTGCCTTCTGAGTTTGAACTCTCATTAGAGTAAAAGCCATTCTAGTACTGTAGATCCAGACACAGTGCTTAATCACAAGCGGCTTTACTAATTGTGTGTGTGATTTCAGGAGTGTTGTAACTTGCTTAAACAGTACAAAGGAAAAGGCTTAACAAATCAACGTGCGAGCTCTTGCATTAGGGAAAGCCCATGTCTGTGGTTTTGACTTAAAAGAAATTTTTAATCAGATGTTTCTGTGATTGAATCCAATCATCTCTTGGGATAAAATGTCTCTGTTGAGAAGCTGTTTGCAGTGCTTCTCATTTGGTCTTCCGAGGGTAGAGGCAGAAGCTTGACCTGTCTGTGTGAAGGGTCCGTTTAATGTGTAGAAGCTGCTCTTTATTCATCGTATCTTTTTTTTCTGTTGCTTACGTGTTTGATCTCTGTGTGAGATGCAAATATGGTTGAAGCCAGTTGTGTTTGCTTTATCTCTCAGTAAGTGACACTGTTGTGAGAAGGAATTCATAAAAATGATTATACCTCCAAAGCAGATATTACTAACTGATTGTGAATAATAGGTTGGTTTGTTATCAGCAGACATGATCTGATATCTGTACATTACTTCAGATATTGGGCAAAACCTGCATTCTAACTGCAAAGTGGTTTGTGGTTTTGGCTTGGGTTTTTTTTTTTTTTTTTTTTTCTTTTTTTTTTTTGTTTGGATATGACTCTGCTAACCTCTCTGCTATATTTGAAAATTATGATTTGATTGACTAAAATGGGATTTTAGTGTTGTATGTGTAGAATCTGTGAAAAAGCATAGAACTTCTACTGGGAAACCACTTCTTTATTACCTGATTTTACAACTAGAACAGCAACATTTTACAGAGATGAGTTCATAATACCTTGGGGTCTGTTAGAGGCTGCAAATGTTACAGATGCATCTCAGGAAGGTGTCATCCTAAAGACTATGAATTTTGAGGCATCACTGTTTCTCTATTAGCTTTCCTAGGTTCCAAGCCAGTATGTAATTGAAAGTTTATGGAAATGGGCATATGTTTTATTAACCAGAAACCTGTAAGATTTCATGCAAAATCTCAAAGACTCTTGCTCCAGCAGTGCCATCTCTTGTTTGAGAATTAGGCTGCTATGCCACTGGTCTTGTAACCAGGGACATCTTCCTCTCTGAACACCTTGTTCAGAGCTTGTGCTTGCTGAAGGAATGAGTTGATCAAGTGTCATATATCTGCTGTGATTCTAGGACGTGGTTTCACTTCTATTTGATTTGAGTGGATACATATGGAAAATCTCTCTGCCTTGGGGCTGTAGTACAGGGGAGCCCTGGAGTGGGTCACACCAGTTGGAGACCACATACACCTTTGCAGGTCACTTCCCTGCAAGGTGGTCTTTGAGGGTCTTCAGTCATTGGGGGTCTTCAGTCAAACTGCTTGGCAGTAGTGAAGAAAATGGTTCAGTTAGGACACATGAAAAGGGAATCAAATCTAGCCGTTACACTATGGAAGCTAAACTGGATAGGGTCTTAGTATCAGAAGAGAGAATATACAGAAATACTCTTAACTTCTTTATGTTGGTATCTGAGCTGCTTATACTGTTCCGCATCTGCTTCTTCTCCAGAGCCAGCTGCTGTCCAACCTGCAATTATGGTCCTTAGTCTGGAAATAAGATTAGTGGGCATTAGATATGGAAGTCATATGCTATACTGTCATGAACCGTGTTTGCCTCAGGATAAACTTTTGTCTGGGTGTTCTGTCTTGAATAGCACACAGCATATCTATCCTATCCTGTCTGGTCATGTCTTATTCAATACTTTTGGGGCTATCTTGTCCTGCTTGAAAGCACATCCTTTGGTTTTCAGATCAAAATTTGACTCTCTTTTCCTTGAATCCAATAGTCTCTAAGTTATAAATTTATAAGTAACAGTTTTTGAATCATTGTTCCTTGCACAACTTTCCTTATGTAGTATGAAGTACAGCTGCTGAACACATGAAACTTTTTATGGATATGTTTTCTCTAAAGAAGAAGTATGAAAAACTTGGGGTTGTAATTTAGACAGGAAGGTTTGTGGAAATAAATTCTCAGCATCAATTCTGTAAGACTGCATCTTCTCCCCCCACCAAAAAAATAGTACATGGGTGAGAAACACTCAGTGAAACTGAGGATTCAAATAACCATATTTTATTTGTGCTTTTCTCATGAAACCCATATTGGGCAACCAGGAGACAGCACTTTGGAAAGAGGCGTATGCTAGAGAAAGCTCCTGATGCATAAGGCTGCTTATTGTTTGAAATTACATGAATTTGTTTCTAAACTCCTAAAGACTGAACAAAGGAAGCAACAGGATTTCCAGTATTGCTTCCTTATGTTAGATTTTCTCTTTGTGTGTGGCTGGAAATTATATTGCTAGTTACGAATATGTATTACATTACAGTTGTATTGAGTTCAGTGATTAGGCACAGTTTAGCATTGTTTTAAATGCTGTAAATGGTGGTTCTTGGTTTTGTGGGAAGCTGAAGTATTTGTGTATCTGTCTGTTGGGATTTTATCTTCATTAAACCAGAACATTTAAGTGCTTACAGTCACAATTTATGCTAGTGATGTCCTACGTGCCTGTAGTGTGACACAGGGGACTTACGATGCTGCTAAAGACTTGACTACACCAGCTGGAGAGTGAATTTTACCCAGAATACTCCTAAATGCTCTGAGAGGCTGGGTAAAAACTCCTCTACTTGCTGGAATATGCAGGTGCCTATGAGTGCACCCTGTTTTCATGCGGTACAGCTGAGAATCTGAGGACGAGCATAAAGCAGTAGAGCGCAGCTTTGTGTGCAGCTTTGTGTGTGATGTGACTTGTGCTGTTGCTAAGGTCTTTCCATTTTTGTCTTTTCCAGGTGTGGCTTTTATAGATGGACCAAATGTGTGGCCACTGGTGAGAATCTATCGAGGTGGCTTTCTCCTGATAGAATTCCTCTTTCTCCTGGGTATCAACACATATGGCTGGAGACAGGCTGGAGTGAATCATGTCCTCATCTTTGAACTCAATCCCCGCAGCAACTTGTCCCATCAACATCTCTTTGAGGTAAACAGAAGAGGTTGTAGGAGTGGTTGAGCTGTGTGGCATATCAGGAGGATAAATCCTTCATCGTTTCCTGGCAAGGACTTCTAATACAATTAGAAGAGGAAGTTGCTGAAGTCTTATTAGATTACAGGATTGAGCACTGCTCTTCCTTTTCTTATAATGAGAATTCACTGAGGGTTTCAAAGCTATATTTCCATAAAGTATTTATGTGTTTTTTTTCTATCTTTCTGTAGATTGCTGGTTTCCTGGGCGTTTTGTGGTGCCTGAGCCTGCTGGCATGTATATATGGTAAATTCACCTACATCCCTATGCAGGTGAATCCACTCATCTTGTATGGCTTCATGTTGCTTTTTCTCATCAACCCTACCAAAACCTTATATTACAAGTCCCGTTTTTGGCTGCTTAAACTATTGGTAAGTCTCAAACCGGAAATAAACAAATAATTTTTTAAAAATCTGTAGCTGAGCAGTAGCAGTTCAGTATATACAAATGTTACTAATCTTCAGGAAAGAGGGATGCTTATACCACTGTGCGTTCATAGAGCAGACCAGAGAAGATATTGACCGCACATCACTGTTGAGCATGGGTTTACAGAATCAACTTCTGCTTGTACCAGTCTATTATTATCTTCGTATTGCAGGTAGCTACTTGCTAATCTTCCTCTATACAGCTGTATGCATACTTTTGCACATACAGAAACACTGATATGTTTGCTTTTTTGTTCCTAAATGTAGTGAAGCAGTTTGATCAGGGTTACAGTGCTGTAGGGCAAGGTTGTATGGATGCTTCTCAGCCCAAACTGGGTGAGTAGCAACGTTGAGAGGATTCGCTGATGAGTGGGAACATTTGCAAAGGTTACTGCTTATAAAATTATGTTCATGGGTGGGCTTTTTTTCAGCAAATTTATTTGTGATCTTAAACTATTTTAGACTCAGCTCCCATTTTCCAGGTAAAATCAATCTGGTAAATTGAATGTAAATGTGTGTGCTACTTCAGTGTTCTATTTATAGGCGGGAGCTCCAAAAGAACAGTTTTCAAACTTGTATGGCTCATCAGTTTCTTCCTAAATGGCTGATTCACATGTTCAAGTCCACCCTGTATGCCCTTTTAAATTGACTTTAATCAAGTTGGTTCCCTTGCTACCTTATTCTTGCTGCAACTGCTCAGAGACCATTGGGCGTAAGAGGTTTTGGCAGGCTGATGTTATTCGTAGAATCATTTTAATGCAAATTAAAACTATTAACTTTATCTGGAATATGACAATGATGAAACATTGAATCATGCTTCAAGCATGCATGGGCAGCTGTACACACAGCTACTTAACTTCTGTGTGCTTACCTCTGTTATTTGATTTATTAGCTTACTACTATTTCCGTTTTTCTTTTTTGCCTTCCAGCATTCAGCCATGTCTCATAGATGTACCTTTAGTCCCAAGCCTCATTAGTCTTACTGCTGTCCCTTGGTGCTAGGGGAAACACTGGAAATGCTTTAACCATGTGAGCAATATCTGTGCTAATATACCTTAATATCTTAACAGGGTAAGATTCTCAGTCCTCACAGAGCTCTTAGGCAGTGTCCAGTACCTGCTGTAGCCCAGCTATCTCAAGACTATGCTGCAGTCTGTGATAGAGGCACACCTTTAAGTGTGCAGAGGCCAATTCATCCCAAGGTCTCCTGGGGAAAAATGCTTCATCAAAGTGCAATACCACCTTAACGGTGGAAAATAACACAGTACTTCTGACTGTGTGTTATGCAGAAAGGGAAGAAAGAGGCCCAACAAACCACATAAAGAGTAGCTGTTAGGCTTTTCTAATTTTTATTGTGTGTAATTGGCTGGCTGGGTGTATTTTATTGCTCTGTGCAGTTGCCAGCAGCTGTCTGCATGAAAGGTTTAAATAGTGCGATTCCTAGAACTGTGCTGTTCACACAAGTTTTGGTTAGCGTTTTCGTTCATATCCTTAATATGTTTGATTTCCAGCCATAACAAAATATGACATATCGGGTGTAGCAGAGCATTACTGGCACCTTCAATTTTTCTAGAACCAAACCAGGAGCATACTTTAGTGTGTTGTAGCATTTCCTGATGGATCTGGGGGGCTTACTTCATCCACCTGTGATCATCAACAGCTGCTTGTTGGTACTTATGAGTGGGATCTCTTGATAATCCCTGAGGGACTGCAAGTTATATCTGAATTGGTCTTCCTCTGAAAAAAAAAGTTTAATTCCCACACCAGGCTCTTCTTTCTTGCCTGTGTACTTAGGTGAGTGTTCCTTTGCTGCCAGATGAGAAGCCCATGAGTGCGCTTGTGTAGGCTGAGGGGAGCAGCTCACCAGGAGGAATCAGATTCAAGTACAGGGGGTGGCACAGCGTCTGTATGCCCACGCTCTCTGCAGGAAACCAAAATGGCAAAACAACTGCAGGGAGCCTGTCTGAGAGAGGTGAAAATCTAGGAAGTGTTTAGCTCCAGCTCAAATATCTACCATCTCAGCACTTACTAAAACCACAGCACCAGGAAGTCTGCTCAGACTGTGGAACTGTTGATATATAATTCCAACCGATTACTTGAAACTGAAGTTCAGCTCCAGCTTTTTGATGACTTTATTCTTGTGGCCCATGTTCTCTGGAGGATACTGCAGACACTTCTCAGCTGGGAATTGAGGAGTTGCCTGTGGTACCTGCCAGCAGACAATGCCCTCTGCTGCCAGCACCCTCTGGTAGCTGGGCTGCAACTCCATCTGTGCCTGGGCAGCGTGTGGCAGCAGCCAGAAAACACAGTCCCTGACACGCAGGGTTAGGAGGGTTCAAATGGCAGCTTAGGTTCTTAAGGATAGTTCACTGAGCTGCCAGTGCCTTATCTAGGTCATGGACTGACTCCTTGTCTGCTGTAACCTTTAGGTGGAAAGCTTCTACTCTCTTTAAGTTTTATGCTGTCATCTGGCAGTGCCTAAGTGTGTCTCTGTAAATTAAATAACATGTATTTATTAATTTCTTCTTTGTTTTCTTGTTTCATTTGGTTTAGTCAGTCTTTGTTTATAATAAAAAAAAAGGTCAGATGAAACAGGTAGAGATAGTTAGTATCAGGGAGTGTTGGTAAAATGGAGGAAGGACCTTTTGAAAAGGAAGGCTGGTGTGGCTTCTCTGACCTCTGCAGAAGCTATTCTGCAGCTGGACTGCTTTGAGGACAGACCTCCCTAGTGGCTGGCTCTGTTTGAGCCTTTGTAATAGATTCCGTCCTTCAGCACAGTGCTTTCTGGGTCAAGATCCATATCTGCTTTATGCCACTAAGTCTTAATCCCCTATTTGGCTTTGAAATTTAGGACTAGAGACTTAAATTGGCATTAAAAGCCAATGGGAATGTGTCAGTCCTTTCCCTGTAAGGTTTCTGTAACTGTGTACCCTTTAGGTTAATAAGGAGAGCAATATAAAAGATCAGTGTTAGCCTGTGCTTTCATTAATTTAAAGGATCATAAATCTCTGAACTACCGGATGGTGCTGGTGTGCTGTCTCTTTGAGAAATTGGCCATTAGTAACTATAACTAACTGGGTAGAGAGAGTTGTAATCAAAGGTAATGGACCATGAAAACTGTCTGGTTTGAAAGTAGCAAAACTGCTGCTAAGGCTTAGAGGGAAAGTGGACTGGGATTGAGGGGGAGTCTAATAGACAGTCAATAGGATTTCCTCTGCCCTTTCTTTAGCTCGTTCCCTGCTAGAGGCTTGGGCAGATCCAGCAGTAACAATCTTAGCTTTTTCAATTTCTAACACCAAAGAACAACTAATGTGTTAAGTAAACCGAACCATGATCAGAGTAATGGCCATGCTGAGGGTCTATGACTGAAATATTAAGGGTGGGGAAGAAGGTATGTGTGGAAGGTGTCAACAGACATTACATAAATGCCTGAAAGAAAGCACTGATCAAAATGAGGAGCAACAGGAGAAATGGAGATTGGAAAGAGCTTGGTTAGAGGAGACTAGGCTCTTCTGCCGCTGAGGAGGGGGGAAAAAAACAACCCCAAAAAACCCAAACCCCAAAACAATTAGAACAACACACACCAAAAAAAAGTGAGGGGGACATGAATGGTTGCATGCAGAAGGAGGAATGCAGGAATGATGCTTGTACTAAAAGTGTGGAGACAGCTATCTTTTTTTTGTCAGTGGGAGCGAAAGCTCAGCAATAAATCCTCAAGCCTTTCTGCGATTTCCATATTTGTTCAATGCCATGATGTCCTGCCACGGCATTTAGATGCATTTGACACTGTTATGAATTATTCCTTTTTCTTCCTGACAGTTTCGAGTGTTCACTGCTCCCTTCCACAAGGTAGGCTTTGCAGATTTCTGGCTGGCTGATCAGCTCAACAGCCTGGTCGTAATACTCATGGATCTGGAATACATGATCTGCTTCTACAGCTTTGAGGTTCAGTGGGAGGACAATGCTGGACTTCTGGCAAATACAGGTAGAGTAATGCTGATGACCCATGCAAACGCAGTTAAAATGACCTGAAAAACACTGGCAAGGCAGCTTCAGTTTGAACAGGGCTACCAAAGATATAGGGAATTAAAATAATTCGTGTTTCTTGTAAACATAGCATTGGCAAGATTCTCCCCTTTCTTACTTCCATCCAGAGAAATTGAATTTCACATCAGTGTTCATTTCCTAATCCAGTCATTTGGCCTCACATGTATATTCATCAAAGAATTTAGATGCAGCACTTCTTGACTGGAAAGAGAAATCCGTTTTCCTGGCATTGCTGTTTACTTTCATAGTAGTTTAACCATGTATTTGCTTTTAGCCTGTTCCTGTTGCTCAGTATCAAAATGAGTTGCATGAGCTTGTTAACCACAATTTTCTGTCCTGTAGCCTGCTTCTTACAGGCTCCATCATAGTACCCTAAAGCAAGAGAGGATGGAGAAACTTCCTTGTTAGTGTCACCCCTTATTCAATTAGAGTTGATGCTGTGATGCCTGGGTTGTGCATGCTCTGCCTCTTCTTTCTAGCCAGAAGACCCACAGAGTTGGCATATGAATTTTGACTTTGGCCTTCCTCATGGCAAATAGTACCTGTCTCCTCCTAGATCAGGCTGTTGTCTTTTCATTTTAAGCAGTGACTGCTGGCAAATTGTGTTATCTGATGGTTTTGACACTTGCTGAAAGAATTTGCAGTATGCTTCAATAAGCATCAGTGTTCACTTCGTTCTTCAAATCTGCCTGATCTTTCTCTTCCTTTTAAGACAGTGTTGCAAGTAACTAAATATTTATTTATTAAAAATAAATAAATAGGGCAACTAAGTGGATATCAACTTGTCGTCTTCCAATCGAAATCGTGGAATGATAGCAAAGTGCTTTGGGATAAATATCAGCTAATAACTTGTCTTCATTATTCTGAATAAGAAGCAAATGTTTGTTAGTGGAGTGTTTGGTTTAGATGTGCTGAGCAAGACAGCATGAGAATATGGCATGCCGGGGGGGTCCAGGCAAAGCTGTTTTTTTCCTGTTCATTTCCTCAATAAAAGGAAGGCTTTCAAACATCAGGGGTGTAACACAATGTCATATTGGTGTAGTTGCCTGTCACCTCAGTTGCTGAAGTCAGGCCTATGCCCTGGCTTTGCTTTAGAAAACGAAAAAAAAAAAAGGCAGCAAAACCACATACTGGAATATCTTTCGTCCTATTACAATATACAAGAAAAATGGGTCAAGGATACCTTAGGCAAAGTAGCCTTTTTGAGCTGTCCCACAGAGTTTGGAAATCCTCTCCCATTTATGCACAAAAATTCAGTGTCAGAGGCCTTTCGTAATTCCATTTGTAATTTGATTATTCACAGTACTGCCAACAGCACGAAATAAATTATTTCTGATCTTGTTGCATGTTAGTTATACTGGCAGCAGTGAAGGAGTTAGATAATGATCTCTCTAGATGTGTTTATTGATGTCATGTCACCTGAATACCTCCAAGATGGAATAAAGAGCTTTAGGATACTTACTGGTGATGAGGAGCTTCCCACCGTTCTGTATGTGTGTGTGCCTCAGTATGAGACACTGATGGGGAGTTGCTCTCATATCAAGTGATAATACTCTTACAGAAAGGAAGACAATAGGAGTTCTTAAATTTATTAACTCTTTGTCCCTGAACCTTCTTTCTTGCAGATAATCAGATTTGTTACAGCTACTCCTACGGAGTGAGAGCGGTTGTCCAGTGCATCCCTGCTTGGTTGCGATTCATCCAGTGCCTGCGCCGTTACCGTGATAACAAACGGGCCTTTCATCTGGTTAATGCTGGAAAATATTCCACCACCTTCTTTGTGGTGACATTTGCAGCCCTCTACAGCACTCACAAAGGTATTGGTTGTTTTGGAAAATCCTTTGTAAATTGTGGGATTCGTGTTTTACATGAGAGAAGCTCAGGATTTGTCATCCCACTGAAACATGAACTTTTGTCTTTTGGCACCTGTGAAACATCTCAGTAGAAAAGCAAAGGCCTGCCTAGCTTGCAAAGAGTAATTTAAGATCTTCTTTTAGGTGTTTTTCACATATCTGGTCTGCTTAGAACTGCATTTCTGGAGTGTGAGAGAATTTTGAGGTTTCTCTCTCAAAAGGAGAAAATGGAAATACCTGTCAGTTTTTGCTGTCAAGGGAGGTTGAATGGGAGATGTATATGGAAAGAGATAACACAGGAAATACTTCTCCCTTAGTATTCATGAATAGCTAAACTGCATCATGTAAATAAAGCTGGTCCATCATTCCTGAATGTCAAGAAATGTACACAGTGCCAGGAAATGCCCCCTCTAGATTTTCCAGTGTGGTTTTATCCATGCTTTTTTCTGCACCTGTTAGGGAGTTGTTTCCAATCCATTTAACTGCAGATTGAGCTCTGATCCCTGAAGTTCCCCATCTCCCTGGAAACGACAATTATTTGATTCTACTCTTGTTCTGAAGGAAAAAGCTTTTAGTTTCTGCACGTAAGGCAGTCACCCTGCCTTTCATTGTTCTGAAGTCCTAAAAGCTGTATTCTTTTATTTGAAAATACATGCCTTCTATATCTCCAGAAATTAGCAGCTGCACACGCTCATGACCAATTACTTATCCTGAGCTATGATTGTGGCAGAGCAGGAAAAAGTGTTCAAGGCATGCTGTTTTTTTGACGGGTGGCAGGGTTATTAGGAACTTTCCTGTGGCCAAGAAATGGCTGTTCTGACCTAGCTGGGCCTGACGATAGTGTTTGTTAAGCCTTGTATTTTAGTGGCAGAGAAGTGCATTGGTGCAAGCTGGCTGAAGGCTGGAAGTTGGGTGCTCTGTATCTGGAGGTGGATGCAAACCTGGTGTGGGAGCATCAGTCGTGGATGCAGTGCCTAGCCCCTCTGTGCATCTCTTCCCCGCTGCTGTGTCCCTGGAGCTTGTTCCCATTTTAACTTGTTTGCTCAGTGACATTCCGCAGGTCTTCAGTTCCAGCCCTGCAGTCCAGTTAGTCATCACCGCCAAACCCCAAGATGAGACAAATACAGATTGCCTGGCTATAGTCACTGCTTGTATGCTTTTATATACAGTGCCTGCTCTGGGGAGGCTGACTAATGCTTCTCCTTCCCGGGGGTGGACACTCTGGCAGAGCCTTCTGTGGGAAGGTTAGGGTAGGTTTGGAACCAAGAGGAAAGCCAACATCTGTCAAAATGTCCTGTTGAAGAGTCTGACCTCTTTCTGCTCCCTGTGAGGTTTGCATCTCTGCCAGTATCGCTGATCCTTGTTCTCGTTCCTGCCACACATAACTGTTGTCTGCTCTTCAAGTCTGGCAGGGAGTGGGTTGTAATGAGGTGTTTATGAGGTAGGTGCAGGGCTTGTTCCAGTTGCTGAGAGCTGTTCGGGACTCCCAGCTTTTGCTTCTCCAGTTTTGTTAGTGGAAGACAATAGCATGTAGTTGTTGGTATCATACAGGGAAAAAAAAAAGGAAGCTTTGTGGCCTTTGGAAATTAAACGTTAGCACAGATTTTGACAATGTCACAGTGCCTGGCCTTGTAACAATGTTTCAGAGAGCTGCTAAAGACCTTGCTGTGTCCTTTCAGCCCTGTAGGCCTATTCCCATCCTTCCATAAATGTACTTTCTAATACTCTGTATCGGTTAAGAATCCAGTTTAATCTGTGTGCTTTACATAGATCCCCAGTTCTTTTTGAACTTGGAATCAGATGGTCTATAATCAAGTCGTTATGATGTTGCTGTTGAAAATAGATGCATTGCTCGCCCACACCTTCTCCGTGTCTGCCTAAGGATAGCAGAGAGAAATACCAATCCCGTACCTACGGAACATCTGTTGGGGGCTAGCAGCTTGCTATCAAGAAAGCAAGCACTTCCCAAAACAAACGTCAGTTGGTAAAGATCCTTGCTCCTTAATCCTGCTCTAAATTGCAGTAAGCAATGAACCTGTTAATTGACTGTGGTAACAAGTTTTATTTCAACTGTCTTTAGTGCCTGTGTTTGCAAGCCTATGACTTATACCTCTGGAATGACAGCTTTGGCTGCCAGAACAAGAGGGTAATTGGCAGGTTTCTCTTTAGAGGTCAGGTAATGTGCCTGTTCTCCACTTGGGAGTCCTGGGAACATCTCAGCCCTTTGAAAAGGCTTGTCCTCTTCCCTTGATTTGAACACTGAAAAACTTATAGTTGGTCTGTAAGTTTTAGCTTGTGTCTGCCAGCTGTGTGAAAATGAATTATGTGGGTAGGAGGGTTTGTTGGCATTGAAAGCCAGCTAGTTCATATAGAGTGCACTTACAGCATTTTTGTGCTTTGTTTTCATATGCTTGCTGGAAAACAGCCTGAACTAAACAAAGGTACAAATGCCACCTTATTATGTTACAGTGATGTATGGTGGTCCTAGCCATATGTGATACTCCCTTTTCCAAACCTCCTGTAGTGAAGTTTCCCCCCCAGTAACACAGTGTGCTATTGGCTCTTGATGAGTATCTCTGTTTCACCAAAATATCACTGTTTAATAATTCATATTGCTCAGGCAGTGCATAATTCTGATTCTTTCTTCCCTCAGAGAAGCCATTTCTTTACTTTTCTTCCTTTATTTAGATGCGGAATGCAATTTTCTCTGCTAATTGCAGTTGGGATGTTAGACTGGTAAGACATCGAAGTAGATTCTGCTAGGTTTACACTCCTAGACAGCAATATTGTTGTCCTTGGACTAGACTAGTTTTACAGAGTTAACTTTAAGCTATCATCTCGATACTCTGATATCATTTGAAGTAGTGAAGCTGAAGTGAGCGTAGCTACCCCATAACATAAGACCAGAGCAGGCAGCAGTCGTGAGGACAAGTGTCAATTCAAGCTGCCCACTTCAGCACAGCTCAGAAGACCACCATGTTTCAGGGATGACAGCAGCATCAACAGACCCAAGAGCAACTGTTGCTGAGCTCCCAAAGGAAGAATTCTCAGTATTTTTATATCGCTCAAAGGAATGGGAAGCAAAGGCCATGTTCTGTAAATATAGTCCTGCGGGGTGTGTTTGCACAGGCAAATGAGGCATATCTGTAACTCTAAGCTACCTAGCAACTGGAGCGGGTGCTGCCGGTCCCTGCCCGCTTACAGCACGGCCGAGCAGAAGCCTCTGCCTTGGCTCTTTCTTACCCTTGCTTTGCACTAGGGAGTTCAGTGCTGGCATTAACTTCCCTGGCAGTGCTGAGTAGCTTTCCCAAGAGCTAGCCAACTGAATATTACATTGCCTTTTTTAAGCCCTATGGAAACCCACATTGTGCTGGGGAAATGGTTACGCCTGAGTCTGCAGCAGAATATTTACCTCAAGTGCAGTGCTGTTTTGACACACAACTCCTTTTTGCAGTGTTTTCATTCTGCCAAAAGCAGATGTGCTTTCTGTGACAAATGCACCAGTATGACTGCTTCCACTTCAGGATAGCTTATCCTGTCATTCCACAGGGATCCCCTCTTGTATAAAGTGTTCTTGCATTTAGAGTGGTACACCGACATACCTAGAATAGCCAGCCTTGGTTTCGTTCCTCACTCAAATCTGGTTCAGGCTTTGTAGGAAAGGATTGTTATATTAGGTGTTCAGCTCTTAAGAGAAACAGTGTAACTGGAGTTGTGTTGTACTACTCTAAGAGTGCTGATGACTTTTTAAGCTTTATGCATGATTTATGCTACAACTTTATTATTTATAAAATGAGACAAATCTTGGTTTTGCTGTTGTCTGTCAATTTTCTCTTACCTTGATGCCTTTTGCTCAGTGGTGTCATCAGAAATATCTGGCTCATAGAATACAGATTTGGCTTCTATGCTTGAAGAACTGAGCTTCTCGAGTGCTTTGTACTCTTCTACCATTTTCTGGTTTTGTGGGATTTGCTGTTTCAGTGTGAGCATTTGTGTGTTTACCTTGTTTTTTTTCAGGAATGCATTACTGAGCTAAAGCACAAGTAGTAGATTCAAATTGGCTATGTGAGACTGTATCTTTTTAAGTTTTCATTGTCAGCTTGATTTACACACCTTATTCAATGAAGTGCTTGTGGTCTGGGTAGTATCCAGCTATTTATTATCCTCTGAATTATACCAAAGTTTTAATCCACATGGCCTGGAAACTCGAGTGAGCATCAGTTCTTCCATATTGCTCCCATACTCTTTCCAGGTATTCCATGTAAGACTGCTGAACATTGGCTGTCATCAGCTTGGAAGTGCTGCAGAGAGCCTTAGATTGGTCTAAGAGAATGTAACTGCCATGTACTTTCTCATTAAATAGCCCAGGAAACTGATAGTAATTAAAAATACAGAAGTTAACTAAATAGGTCTGTCTCTAAAGAGTAGTGCTTCTGTGTCCTCATCATTGCTTCAGAAACAGGCCTCTCTGGTGCAGTGATGTGTAATTTATTTTGTTTAAAGCCAGTGTAAGAGAAAACTGTGAAACTCCTTGCTTTACCACGAAATAGAGATGTGAACTAAGACAGGAGTCATCCTTCGATTAATGGGCTTTTGCAGGAAGGTGCTGGACCATCCCTTACTAACAGGGAGGTTCTACCAGCTCTGACCAGATGAATGGGAAATGTGCTTCTGCTTGAATATACAGTGGAAGATTCCCAGGTCTTGTAACTGCTGCTCATTCCTCATTAATCATGATGGCTTCAGTTGTTACCAGTGCTGATACCGCTGGCATAGCCAACTTCACGCTGGACTAGATCACTGGTTCTCCTGTGGTCTGTCCTGCTGCAGCTCTCTTGAGGAGGGGCATGGCTTCCAGATGAAAGATGGTGATGCACAGCAGGAAGGAGGAGAGTGTGGTGGTAACATCAAACTGTTGCACTGGTTGCTGCAGGAGGGTAGCTTATTGTACCTTAGCTCTGCTG